ACATTGTGCGAGGAATAGCAGTCTGCAGTGAAGAGGGACTGAGGAGAGCCTGCTGGGGAGAACCCCCCAGGGCGGGGCCCCACCGTCTCTGCAGATTCAGATGCAGCAGCAGGTGGAGACCAGAGGGAAGACAGGCCGGAACGCGTCCAGAGGCGCCTGAGCCCCTTCCAGAACTCGATAACAGGGGACAGGGGTCAGCAAGCTAGTGTTACGATACATAAGGGCGGCCAGGCCGGTGAGGCCAGAGTCTGAGGCTCACCAGGAAGCCTGGGGCGGGGCCAGATGGCGGGAAACAGGCAGGTTCCCAGCAACCCCAGCTCAGCAGCCCCTGTGGGCAGGAGACGAGCGGGTGGGGGTCTGTTTGTGCAGGCGCCCTGGGTGCATAGCCTCCTGGGGCAGAGCCTCCTGCGGGTCCTCATTGGCTGAGCCGTGTCTGGGTCTGTGAGCCAGGATGGCCTGGACCAGGGGCACTGCTTCTGGACCTTATTGATCTTTTACAGAGAGGAAGGGAGAGGGATAGAGCTAGAAACATCGATGAGAGAGAAACATCGATCAGCTGCCTCCTGCACGCCCCCCGCACCGGGGATGTGCCCGCAACCAATGTACATGCCCCTGATCAGAATTGAACCTGGGACCTTTCAGTTCGCAGACCGACTCTCTATCCACTGAGCTACACCGGATTCGGCGGGCTGTCGTCGTCTTTAAGTGGAGTCAGAGGGTGCAGGGACTTGGCAGCAGCCCAGCAGGCTGCAGTCAGAGACGCAGGTGGGACAGCTGGTGCAGGGGGTAGACTCGGAGGCCCTGCAGACCAGGGTGGCACCGGAGACCCTACCAGCCATGGTCTCCCCAGCGATCTGGAAGGCCAGCGTGGTCCTGGCAGCTCTACTAACCCTGACTGTCCGACACCCAGAGGGGCCCTTGCAGCTCTCCTGGCCAGTGTGGCTCTGGTGCCACCGACAGTCAGGGTGGCCCCAGTTCCCCTGGTGGCCAGGAGATGAGGAAACGATGGGACCAGCAGCCACAGGTGCTCCCTGTTTCTGGGCCAGGTAGACGGGCAACATCAGAGGCTGCAGGACCAGGAAAACGAACGATGGTCTGGCATCCTTTCCGGGGATGCCCTGAGGACTGGTAGCCAAGGGGTGGCTCAGAGACATCCTACAAGCCTAGGGCTGGCTTTTGGGGACAGGGCACAGGGCAGCCTGGGGAAGATAAAAATGGGAGCAGCAAGGGGACCTGGAGTAGCCAGGTGGGAGGGGAGTTGATGAGTCAATAGATGAAGAGGCTGGAGGGCAGCAAAGCAGCCTGAGGGAGGGGTGGAGGTTGGACAGGATGAGCTGTGTGAGGAGGCATGCAGGCCAAGGTGGCCTGAGCTGGGGAGTGGCCAGCAGGTCCAAGGACAAAGATGACCAACACCACCTGCAGGCGATTTAAAAGAAGTTCAACGTGAAGGGCAGCAGGCTGGCTGTGTCATTTATAGAAGGATCCAAGATGGAGTAGGGGCAAGAGTCAGGGCCTAAGAGTTAGTCTTAGCCAGAGAAGTGCTGTGTCATGCATAAACAGAGTGTCAGGTCTCCGGAGAGGGGATGGTATTCCTTGGCCACAATAATGTTTTCTTGTATTTCTTGTATTAACTTTAATGAATAATTTAAGAAACATTTATTGCTAGACACTGTTCCAGGCCTCCATAGAAGTTATATACTAATTGGGAGAGACAGTCAAGAAACAAAACAAACAATTACCGCCAGGCTGGTGTGGCTCAGTGGTTGAGCATCAACTTATGAACCAGAAGGTCATGGTTCGATTCCAGTCAGGCCACATACCCAGTTTGCTGACTAGATCCCCAATGTAGGGCACACTGGAGGTAACCAATCAATAATTGTCTCTCATCACTAATGTTTCTATCTTTAAAAAAAATATTTTATTGATTTTTTACAGAGAGGAAGGGAGAGAGATAGAGCTAGAAATGTTGAGGAGAGAGAAACATCGACCAGCTGCCTCTTGCACACCCCCTACCGGGGACATGCCCGCAACCAAGGTACATGCCCCCGACCGGAATCAAACCCGGGACCCTTCAGTCTGCAGACTGACTTCCCACCACTGAGCCAAACCGGTTTTGGCTAATGTTTCTATCTTTCTGTCTCCCCTCTTCATTCCTCTCTAACATCCACACAAATATATTTTAAAAAAAACCAATAACCACATTATGTAGTGTATGGGCAGGTGGAGAGTCTTATGTATGAAATAAAGCGGGGGGGGGGGAGGAATGATAAGGAGTACTGGGGTGAGTGGTTTTCAATTTTAAATGAGGTGGATGGGGCAGGCTTCACTGTGTGATCGAGTTGGAACAAAGACTGGAAGATGGTGGGAAGAGGGAGGAGATTAGTGAGCTGGAGCAGAGTGAGTGAAGAAAAGAGTGGCAAGAGAGGGGTCAGAGAATTTATGGACCAGATGCTATAGGGCCTCAGAGGTCATACTAAGGGCTTGCGTTCTGAGTGAAATGGGAAATAATGGAGGATTCTTATGGGTTATATTGTGTCCTCCAAAAAAAATATGTTAAAGTCCTAATCCCTAGTGCTTGTTAATGAGATCTTATTTGGAAATTGGGTGTTTGCAGATGTAATTATTTAAGACTAGAGGCCAGATGCATGAAATTGTGAAATAGCCTTCCCCTGGCTGCCAGCGCCGGCTTCCCTCTAGCACCTGGGACCTGGGGTTCCCTGTCGGAAGGACATCTGGTCTAATTAGCATATTACACTTTTATTTTTATAGATGAGATCATACCAGAGGCAAAGTTATAGAAAACAAGGTATATCAGAGAGCTAACTCCTCTCCCAAAACATGTAACTAATCCTCTCAACACTTTTCTTCACTCCTTTGAAACCTTAGTAAGGACAAAATTCTAATTCCAGTACTTCTGGGTTGCTTTATCTTCCCATGCAAACTACGTTTCTTGTTTTTGTTATGAATTTTGGCAGGAATCAGGACAACTGGTAAGAAATAATCGTGAGCACACTAGAATTCTGATGGGAGGATACACCTTTTGGATAGTAATGGCATACTGTAGACTGACAGCCTTCAAAAATACATAGGAACATACAATTTTAACTCAGTAATTCTACCTTTTGGAATATATCTTGAGGAAATAAACCGTTCATGCAAAATCATATAGAAGAATTCCATGGAATCATCCTATATAATAAAAGCCCAATATGCAAATTGCTCGATCAGGAGTTCTAGTGCTATGATGTGCGCTGACCACCAGCGAGTGGTGTGGAACATGGTGGGTGTTGGCCATGTGGTCCTAGCAGCAGGCACCAGTGGAGGCACTGCTGGGCCTGATGGGCCCCAAAGAGAGAGGGACTGTGGTGGGATGGTGGAACAGGTGAGCAGGCAGTGCCAGGCCAAGGAGGGTGTGAGCAGGGACCTGTTTGCCCTGCAAATTGCCCCATAGACAGTGAGTGACCAGTGGCCAGCAGGCCCTGATTGCCCATTTGGGGCCAGGCACTGAGCTGGGACAGGGAACTGGGGTGGGTGGCAGCGACCAACCTCCCATGGTGACCAGGCAGAGGGCTGCAACCTCTTGCACGCTACCTGGAGGTGGGGGTGACAGGGACGGAGGTGTGGTGAGAATGTGGGGTGTCCGCTGAGCTCACTCTCACTCTCCCTGCTACCCTCCCCCGGGATGCCAGGGCTCACACGCTGGGGAAGCCCCCTCGCTCAGGTGCCAGGCACTCATGAGGAGCCCACCCTGAACCTGTGTGGCCTCTTCCAGGTGAGCCGGGCTGCAGCCACCGGGACCGCAGGGGCCAATTGGGTTTCCCGTGGGTTTGTGCAGGAGCCGGTCTGCGAGGTCAGCCGGGAGGGAGCACACTGCCCACCTGGCTTCTGTGCCCTGGCCCACAGCATCTGGCTGCACTCACCCCATCTCTGCATGGGGACTCAGGTGCGGTGACTCAAGTGAAGGGGGTGCTTGGGGGCCCAGTGGGCCTAGGTATTGCCCAGAGTCCAGAGGTCAGCTCGAACCTGCTCTTCCTCATCAGACGCTTGTGTTTCAATTACCAACCAGGCCTAGCGAACACACCTGTGCATGAATTTCATGCACGATGCCCTAGTTATTTATAAGAAGAGGGAAATGGAAACATTAAATGTTCGACAATTAAATTATTCTATTTCTTTTATGCATCCAATGACATGTGTTTAAAGTTTTTCTTAAAAGAGGAAAAGTTCATAAGTTAAATGAAAATTATTTAGAAAGAATTTAATTCTGATTTTGCAAAAATTTTATACAGTGGAACCTCAAACTTAATTCATTCTGGAAAGCTGTTAGAGAAGTGATTTGTTCAAAAACCGAATCATTTTTTCCCAATCAAATATAATGTAAATTGAACTAATCCATTCCAGACTCCCAAATGATTCTGCTGTAACCTTTCTTACATACAGTGTATGTCTAATGTACTGTTTAAGGTGTAAATAAACACTTGTTAAGTTTATCGAACCACCCCTACTAGCCTTACAGGAATCACTTTCAGCGTTTGGTCCAGGGACGTCCTTCGGGTCCGCATGCAGCATCTCTGCTTGTCACGTATCACTGCCTCCGAAGTGCTGTCCGTGCCTACCTGCTTTTCCTTTACCCACATCAACAACAGACTCTCTCCCTCTCCCATTGCCTGTGACCGGTTTCTTTCTCATCCTTAACAACATTGGCCTTCTTTTAAAATAAAATATGTGCTCTCCCCAGTGAGTGCGCGGCGAGCCGGCTGCGAGCGTCACGGCCTGCGCTGCCTCCCTCCCCGCTCCGGCTCCGAGCAGCGCCCGCCCGGCGGCGCCCAGGCTGCCCAGGGACGGAAATCGAAACCGAAGCGGCCAGTTCCCCTCCCGGGCCCGCCGGCTGGGCGCCCCGCGGGCCCTCTCGCCCAGGCCGGCCCGCGGGCATCTCCGAGGGCGCCGGCCCCCTCCCTCCCTCCCTCCGCGGGGCCGCCCGGCCCTGAGCCGCGCGCAGCATGGGCAGGTGCTGCTTCTACGCGGTGGGGACGCTGTCCCTCCTCCTGCTGGTGACCAGCGTCACGCTGCTCGTGGCCCGCGTCTTCCAGAAGGCCGTGGACCAGGCCATCGAGAAGACCATTGTGCTGAGGAATGGCTCTGAGACCTTCGACTCCTGGAAGCAGCCCCCGCTGCCTGTGTACAGCCAGTTCTATTTCTTCAATGTCACCAATCCCGAGGAGATCCTCGGAGGGGAGATCCCTCGGTTGGAAGAAGTGGGGCCATACACCTACAGGGAAATCAGAAACAAAGCGGATATTCAGTTTGGCGATAATGGAACAACCATATCGGCTGTCAGCAACAAAGCCTATGTTTTTGTACAAAACCTATCTGTTGGAGATGCTCAAAGTGACTTAATTAGAACACTAAATATTCCTGCAGTGACAGCCATGGAGTGGGCACAGCAAGGCATCATCCAGAGGATCATCCGGGCCCTGCTAAAGGCTTACCGGCAGGAGTTCTTTGTGACTCACACGGTCCACGAGTTGCTCTGGGGCTACAAAGATGAGATCTTGTCCCTCATCCACCCTTTCAAACCTGACATCCCTCCCTATTTTGGCTTGTACTATGGGAAAAATGGGACTAATGATGGAGACTATGTTTTTCTAACTGGAGAAGACAATTACCTTAACTTTTCAAAGATTGTGGAATGGAATGGAAAAACGTAAGTCTAATGATTCAACAGTGTAATTATTTTTTCAATTTTTATTTAAACTGAATGTCCACTTCCATATTATTAAAAAAATGTTTTAACACTGTCATTTTGGGGATGAAAAATCCATAAGCATGTAAAATATACTTATTATTTTTATTATTTTTTTAAAACATTTTATTGATTTTTTTTTTTTTTTTTTTTTTTTTTTTTTTTTTTTTTTTTTTTTACAGAGAGGAAGATAGAGGGAAGGGAGTTAGAAACATTGATGAGAGAGAATAATCAATCAGCTGCCTCTTGCACACCCCTACTTGGGATGTGCCTGCAAACAAGGTACATGCCCTTGACTGGAATTGAACCTGGACCATTCAGTCCTCAGGCTGATGCTCTATCTACTGGGCCAAACCGGTTTTGGCAAATATACTTATTATTTTAAAAATCAAGACTGGGGATCCAAAATGGCTGCTCGGGTAGACATCTAGCCGCGGCAGCACACAACAATTTCAATGGAATACAACTAAAATGTAGAGTGGACATTGCCCAGAGCTACAGGTAGTCGACTGACTGAAATTTCTACAACAAGAAGGAAAGAGAAAACCAGAAAGAAAATCAGAGGAGCTGAAAAAAAGCCTAAGGTACGGAGACATGCTGCGCGCGCGTCTGCCCGCACGCGCAGCCGGAGAGGTCGCAGCCGGAGAGGAGGAGAGGGCGGGGAGCTGCCTTTCCTTCCCTAGCAGGAAGGAAATAAAACCCCCAGCCTGGGCTGAACCCCCGAACCGGCAGCACTGAACCCCCCCGAACCCGGTATGGGCCAGACCCTGGGGACCCAGGCTCCCGCGGGAGGAGACGGGGCTGTGAGGCGGAAAAACGGCGAAAAGCAGGGCCCCGGGAGTCGCGCGCAATGCGCGCAGAGGACTGAATGTTGACTCTGATGCTGGGTTGCCCTAGCCGGAAGAAACAAGGCCTCCGGCGGCGCTGAGCCTCAGTCCGGACTGCTCCGAACCCCAGTTCTGGGCTAATCCCTGGGGACCCAGGCTCAGGCAGAGGGAGACTGGGCTGTGAGGTGGAGTCTGGGGAGAGCGCGAAAGGCCGGGCCCCCGGGACTCTCGCAAACTGCGCGCAGAGGACAGTCTGTGGGACTCGCGCAAACTGCAAACTGCGCGCAGAGGACAGTCTGTTGACTCTGATGCTGGATTTCTCTAGCGGGAAGGAGAAAAAAAAAGCTCTAGGCTGGGGGAACACGGAGGGGAGCGGAAGCCCCTGCCGGACTCCAGCCAACCGGGCACCAGCAAGGAGGCGGGCCACGGGGCCCCTGGGGGCGTGGGGGCCCCTGAGCCTTTGTCCACTAAGCTCGGGCAATGGAGCCAAGGCCTGGGGCTGCTTCCTGGGCGGCGCCTTCCCCGGCAACAGGCTGAAGCAGCACAGGAGCCCGCGGAGAACAAAGGGGTGCCACAGGCCAACCTGCTGAGCTCCCAGGACAAGGAGGAAGAAACCAAAGAAGTTCTCAATGTGAAGAAATCAAGTGAGAGCAAAAAATAGTAAAATTACTTAAGAAAGAATACAAAGAAGATCTTGAAAAATCAAAGACTAAGTCAGAACTCAACTCACCAGCCAACATTGTAACATAAATGCGTTTTAAAAAGAAAAAAGAAAAAAAAAAAGGGACAGAATGTTGGAACAGCGGTGGCCAGGCCTAGAGTGGCCAGGCACAAGGCAGTGGCAGCCAGACCCGGAGCAGCAACGGCCAGGCCCCAGAACAACAGCAGCCAGAACCAGAGCATCAACAGCCAGCACTGGAGTAGCCAGACCTGGGGCAGTGGCAGCCAGGCATGAGGTGGAGGTGGCCAAGCCCAGGGTGGCCAGTCCAGGAACACCCAGACCCGGAGTGGCCGGGCCCGGAGAAGCCGGGCCCAGAGCAGCCGGGGTGAGAGCAGCCAGACCCAGAACAGCAGTAGCCAAGCCCAGAGCATCCAGGTTGGGAGTGGCCAGGCTCGGAGCGGCCGGGCCCGGGGAAGCCGGGCCCAGAGCAGCCGGGTCAGGTGCGGCCAGGCCCGAAGCAGCGGCTGCCAGGCTGGGAGCGGCCAGGCCCGGGGGAGCAGCCGGGGCTGGTGCGGCCAGGCCCGGAGCAGCGGCTGCCAGGCTGGGAGCGACCAGGCCCAGGGGAGCAGGCGGGGCTGGTGCGGCCAGGCCCGGAGCAGCGGCTGCCAGGCTGGGAGCGGCCAGGCCCGGGGGAGCAGGCGGGTCGGGTGCGGCCAGGCCCGGAGCAGCGGCTGCCAGGCTGGGAGCGGCCAGGCCCGGGGGAGCAGACGGGGCTGGTGCGGCCAGGCCCGGAGCAGCGGCTGCCAGGCTGGGAGCGGCCAGGCCCGGGGGAGCAGGCGGGTCGGGTGCGGCCAGGCCCGGAGCAGCGGCTGCCAGGCTGGGAGCGGCCAGGCCCGGGGGAGCAGGCGGGTCGGGTGCGGCCAGGCCCGGAGCAGCGGCTGCCAGGCTGGGAGCGGCCAGGCCCGGGGGAGCAGGCGGGGCTGGTGCGGCCAGGCCCGGAGCAGCGGCTGCCAGGCTGGGAGCGGCCAGGCCCGGGGGAGCAGGCGGGTCGGGTGCGGCCAGGCCCGGAGCAGCGGCTGCCAGGCTGGGAGCGGCCAGGCCCGGAGCAGCCGGGTCGGGTGCGGCCAGGCCCGGAGCAGCGGCTGCCAGGCTGGGAGCGGCCAGGCCCGGGGGAGCAGGCGGGTCGGGTGCGGCCAGGCCCGGAGCAGCGGCTGCCAGGCTGGGAGCGGCCAGGCCCGGGGGAGCAGGCGGGTCGGGTGCGGCCAGGCCCGGAGCAGCGGCTGCCAGGCTGGGAGCGGCCAGGCCCGGGGGAGCAGGCGGGTCGGGTGCGGCCAGGCCCGGAGCAGCGGCTGCCAGGCTGGGAGCGGCCAGGCCCGGGGGAGCAGGCGGGGCTGGTGCGGCCAGGCCCGGAGCAGCGGCTGCCAGGCTGGGAGCGGCCAGGCCCGGGGGAGCAGGCGGGGCTGGTGCGGCCAGGCCCGGAGCAGCGGCTGCCAGGCTGGGAGCGGCCAGGCCCGGGGGAGCAGGCGGGTCGGGTGCGGCCAGGCCCGGAGCAGCGGCTGCCAGGCTGGGAGCGGCCAGGCCCGGGGGAGCAGGCGGGTCGGGTGCGGCCAGGCCCGGAGCAGCGGCTGCCAGGCTGGGAGCGGCCAGGCCCGGGGGAGCAGGCGGGTCGGGTGCGGCCAGGCCCGGAGCAGCGGCTGCCAGGCTGGGAGCGGCCAGGCCCGGAGCAGCCGGGTCGGGTGCGGCCAGGCCCGGAGCAGCGGCTGCCAGGCTGGGAGCGGCCAGGCCCGGGGGAGCAGGCGGGTCGGGTGCGGCCAGGCCCGGAGCAGCGGCTGCCAGGCTGGGAGCGGCCAGGCCCGGGGGAGCAGGCGGGTCGGGTGCGGCCAGGCCCGGAGCAGCGGCTGCCAGGCTGGGAGCGGCCAGGCCCGGGGGAGCAGGCGGGTCGGGTGCGGCCAGGCCCGGAGCAGCGGCTGCCAGGCTGGGAGCGGCCAGGCCCGGGGGAGCAGGCGGGGCTGGTGCGGCCAGGCCCGGAGCAGCGGCTGCCAGGCTGGGAGCGGCCAGGCCCGGGGGAGCAGGCGGGGCTGGTGCGGCCAGGCCCGGAGCAGCGGCTGCCAGGCTGGGAGCGGCCAGGCCCGGGGGAGCAGGCGGGTCGGGTGCGGCCAGGCCCGGAGCAGCGGCTGCCAGGCTGGGAGCGGCCAGGCCCGGGGGAGCAGGCGGGTCGGGTGCGGCCAGGCCCGGAGCAGCGGCTGCCAGGCTGGGAGCGGCCAGGCCCGGGGGAGCAGGCGGGGCTGGTGCGGCCAGGCCCGGAGCAGCGGCTGCCAGGCTGGGAGCGGCCAGGCCCGGGGGAGCAGGCGGGTCGGGTGCGGCCAGGCCCGGAGCAGCGGCTGCCAGGCTGGGAGCGGCCAGGCCCGGAGCAGCCGGGTCGGGTGCGGCCAGGCCCGGAGCAGCGGCTGCCAGGCTGGGAGCGGCCAGGCCCGGGGGAGCAGGCGGGTCGGGTGCGGCCAGGCCCGGAGCAGCGGCTGCCAGGCTGGGAGCGGCCAGGCCCGGGGGAGCAGGCGGGTCGGGTGCGGCCAGGCCCGGAGCAGCGGCTGCCAGGCTGGGAGCGGCCAGGCCCGGGGGAGCAGGCGGGTCGGGTGCGGCCAGGCCCGGAGCAGCGGCTGCCAGGCTGGGAGCGGCCAGGCCCGGGGGAGCAGGCGGGGCTGGTGCGGCCAGGCCCGGAGCAGCGGCTGCCAGGCTGGGAGCGGCCAGGCCCGGGGGAGCAGGCGGGGCTGGTGCGGCCAGGCCCGGAGCAGCGGCTGCCAGGCTGGGAGCGGCCAGGCCCGGGGGAGCAGGCGGGGCTGGTGCGGCCAGGCCCGGAGCAGCGGCTGCCAGGCTGGGAGCGGCCAGGCCCGGGGGAGCAGGCGGGTCGGGTGCGGCCAGGCCCGGAGCAGCGGCTGCCAGGCTGGGAGCGGCCAGGCCCGGAGCAGGCGGGGCTGGTGCGGCCAGGCCCGGAGCAGCGGCTGCCAGGCTGGGAGCGGCCAGGCCCGGAGCAGCAGCAGCCAAGTCCAGAGCAACTAGGTCGGGAGCGGCAGTGACCAGACCCGGAGCAGCTGGTTGTGGAATGAACCAGAGCAACAGAGGCCAGGCCCTGAGCAGCCAGGCCCAGAACAGCTCGCTCCTTGCCTGCCCCTGCCCCACAGCTGCTTCTCAGACATGGCTGGAAACTTTCATGGAAACTTGAGGGTCTGCTGAATCAAGTGATGAAGGCTTAGATCTGGATGAGTTGAGTTAGTTTAGGACTGGGGTGTTGATCTGTGAGTGCCTTGGGTGGGGCCTGGATGAGGCTGGTGGACCTATTGGGAAATGTCTTTTGTGTGAAGTGTATCATTGGGCATGTGGAGGTATTATTGATATGAGAAAATGCTAAGTAACTGATTTACTATCTGAAAAGGGATTTACTATTGGGGAAATTGAGGGAAGAAGAGACTGAACATAAACTGC